GAGATCGCAGAGGGACGAGAAAGGAACAATCAAAAACAAAGAAGACACGTCTTCAATGAGCCTATTCAAAACAAGTAGAACCACGACAATTGGGGATTGACACACAAGAGACTAGGATATAGGAAGTGATAGACATGGTATTATGGATAGAAACAGGATAGACGCGGTGAAGAATAGAGTTAGTTAGCTGACAGTAGGGCTGTTTTACCAAATACGTGATCCATGAAGCACATCTATTTTTAGTCAACTAGTTCTAGCCTCCATCGTATCTATTCTGTTTCTATCCGTAATACCATGACTATGACTTGCTACGCCCTAGTCTCTTGTTTGCCAACCCACAAGCGTTGTATTTTAATATTGAACCTAATCAAAGCAAGCAGTACCACGTGTGTGGGTTGGAACACAATAGACTAAGACATAGCAAGTCATAGAGTTGGTATTAGGGATAGAAACAGGAGTAACGAAGTAGAGACTATAGTTATTTGGCTAACAAAAGAAGTGTCTGATCATAGACGTGATCAATAAAGTAAAGGCTTGACCATGAGACTCACTCAGATACTTTAGTTTAGAAATAGTCACCAAGACGTAGGGGATGGGTAATAAAGCCACGAGTAGCACAAGTGGGGTGGAAGAAGTCGAGTGAACTACTTGAACAAAGGAGTTAGCAGACGGATCCTACGGGGCAAGAGGAAGACTCTGATAAGACCTAGGGAAGGAGGACTGCGTACAATATGGGAGACTCTGATCAACATTCCCAACACAAGGGTGGAGGGGAGTGAGAACACCAGCGTAGAGTGTGGAGGGTTATAATGAAAGCCGCTCAAAAGTGCACACCACACTATATTTAGAAAAGCAAGGAAATATTGTGATAGTGAAGACGTGATACGAGGATATAGGAGAGGTGAATAGCCCATGACAGGAGAAATATCACAACTGTTTAGCACAAATTTTGTCAAAATATCGACTTTACCTGTTTCTTTGATGAGTTGTAGTAAGGTGCTAAGAATGGCAAGACTCACGATGCCGACTACGATGAAGAAGCGTGTTCATTTTCTACTTCTCCAGTTCCCAGTTTGTTACAGAATGCTGCAAGGCAACCTCTGAGTCTAGACTTAAGGGTTTCCGAAGGGACCATAGTGATTACCTTGTAGGTGGTAGTGTTATCCAAAGCCTGCTTCATTTTTGCTACACAGCTCAAGCTATCCATACCTACCACTGTTCTTCCTTTGTCTGACCTCAACACCATTTGGTCATCATCATCCAGTTTCCTTATGATTTTTTCACTCTTTTATTCCTGGGTGATATTTCTACATGTCTATCAATTAAAGAAGCGACCTTTAATTCAATATCATTCCTAGTCTCTGCTAGAAGATGGTGAGCAAAACTAATGAGTTCCACCAGAATATCCTCCATAGTATCCTTACTGTTTGGTAAAGCAAAGCTTAAATTTTTCGAGAGCACTTTCTCGATGTAAGTCCTAGGATGTTTTGGAGAGATTTAACACTTTCCCACCAAATATACTTTACTCACAAATTTCTCTCATAGACCTATTTTGATTTGCATTTTCCTGATTCCTATACCAAAATTCCTAAGTTTATTATCATGTCTGTATCTAACCTGGTGAAAAACAATGTCATGCAATTGATAGAAGTGGGTTGACCTCGTTGTCGCAACTGGATATTGTTGTCAGGGCGACTTAATAGAACGCACCTAGTCCGAAGTGGTTTGCCATAGTAGTTGTCATGATTCCCAGCATCAGACAATGGACTTGGTACATACTCAAACGTTTAGCCAGCATCGTAGTCGGCATCATCAGTGAGTTTTGCCATTCTCCGCACCAAGCTACAAACTCGTCAGAGACAAGTGAAGAAAATTCCTCGACAAAAGTTCTACCGAAAACGGTAGAACCCTTTTAACCCACTGCCGACCTATCACAACTTTTGATTTTTTTTACATTCCACTCGTCAAATTGTGTGCCCTTTTGTGTGGAGACTGCGACGATACCACAACATCTTGATCTTCATATCTTCAATGTCATACAACCTATCCGCCATTCTTTATAATTTAGAGAAATCTTCCGAGCAGAGGGCTCACTAATGATTGGTGTAATCTGGCTTTACTCCTTATCAAAGAAAGTAACTCTACAATGTTTTCTTTGGTCCTATATTAACTAAATCCTGGGGTGCCCTCAAGACAAAGGATAATCAAAATAAGTATGAGACATTAGTAAACAAAGGGTAGTTGGTGAGAGCGGAAAAATTTCTCTAAAACATCCTTGGACTTTACCACCGAGAAAGTGCTCTCGAGAGGTTTGAGCTTTGCTTTACCAAACTAATGATAATAGGGAGGATATTCTGGTGGAACCCATAAGTTTTACCGACCATCTTCCAGAAGAGACTAGGAGTGATAATTAATTACAGGTCGTTCCTTTAATTGATAGCCATGTGGAAATTACACTCAGGAATAAGAGTGAAAAGCATCATAAGGAAACTGGATGAGGACCAAATGATGTTGATGGTAGACAAAGGAGGAACAGTTGTCCACCTCAATAAGAATACGTTTTGAGAAAGCAAGGCCATGTGAAATGCAATGGAAACGTGATGTCTACTCATATGAGTGGGACAATTCAATCACTAATCCTGTTACCTTAGACGAACTAGGGCTCATATAAATGTTTTGTTTGTTCTGAAAAAAATTAGTAGACACGAATAAAATCGCTTTGATGAACCTCTTGGTTTACATACAAATATGAATACCAAGATGTTGCGGTCTTTATTTTGGTTGCAGTCTCCTTTCGATCTTAAGATATGATCTGACCTCGTTTTCGCAATTTGGTCGGGTTTTCTGAGCTACGTAGCTGAACGCACCTTGTCCGAAGTCCTCTGCCACAAAGTTATATATAAGAGGAAAATGCGGGTTTCGAAAATTCTTCAGAGTTAGGATTGTTGTGAAGACTTTCAGTTCGTATGAAGTGCATGAACTGTTAACTTGAGTCTTTTACAAGAATGTGCCCCAGCTGTGACGATATTCGTCATGTGGCGAGCGAAACGTCTTCGCCCGAGGCGTTGGAAGATGTCTCGTGGGTTGCATCAATTCAACGTCGTGTTAAAGCCAAATGACTGAAACACAACACGAATCAGCCATAGTCTTCTGATGAGATTTACTTATGAATCTCATCATGCACTTCCATACAAAGTGAAAATCTTCACAACAATATAGTAGTTAGCATAATTCCATGCGTCGGACCGTGGAATTGGTACATTCCCGGAAATTTAACAGGCATCGTAGACGGCATCGGCAGTGAGTCTTGTCATTCTATGCAGCAAACTACAATGCGTCAATGAGACAAGTGAAGTCAATCCCATAAAACTACCATTTGTCAGACGACTGTGCAATCACTCATCTTTCTGTCCTAGCACATCTACCTACTCCCTACCCTCTATCACAGGATACCGTACTGGGACTGGAACCAAGTGAGATCAGTCAACTAGAAAGGTAGGAAACAAATCTACCGGCCCGAGATATATTCGGATAGGAAGCCCGAACCAGATCAACAAATCGAGAGAAAGGAGGTTCAATGTAAACAGTAGGCGTGATGACGCCACGCTAGACTTGCTGGAGTGGGATATAAACAAGTCAGAAGTTGTGATAGGGTGGGAATAAATTAAGAGGGTATGGAGTTGATAGATGGGCCAGGACAGAAAGGGGAGTCATAGCACATCCGTTTCGGCAGAAAGTTAATCAAGGGATTTATTTAGCTTTTCGCTTTGACTAGTTGAATCTTGGAGCTGAGTATAAAGACTCATTGACGATGTCGGCCGTGTACTAAAATCCACGGTCCGGTGCGGAAAATCACGATATGTACTAGAGCATTCATTTCGTGTGTTTGATGAATAATTGAAGAGTAGGTCCACTAAAAAACGGAGGATTCCTCTTGGCCAATTGTAGGTTGACTTTGCTGAAATATTGTAGTTTACGCTGTCCTTGGGGCTGTATTTCGATTCCAGTGTAAACGGACTAAAGTTTCTGTGTCATAGTACAGGCATCATAAAAGAAATATAACATTCTTGCAACTAATCCAAGGCAATGAGACAAGATACTTCACTAGATTATCCCTACATGTTGTATATAAAATCTAATGTTATTCGCTTAGTTGGTTCAAGTCATGTCTCTTCTGACGTCTGTGCGTGAGTATGTACATTTACGTACATTTCAGACGAAGGCTCCGCATGTTTTCAACGAAATCGAAGGAAAGAACCTCTAGGATAGCGTTAAACAGAATTTTTGAGTGAAGTCAATTAATAGCTGGAAAAGAGAATCCGCAATCGTCTTCTGGCAAGATCGACCTTGGAGTAACTTAATTATATACAGGAAATGAGCTCAACAAAAATTAATAGAGCCACTTCCAGAACTGGATTTATAATAAATAACAAGTATATAGTGACGGTTCTTAGGAAATAAAAAAATCTCAACAAAGTGCTATATATGTATATATACATAATTTGCTTATTTATATATGCATAAGTGGGTTATGATGCCGGTCTATTCAAATGATCCAGGTGTCAGGCTGCAGCTAATATCCGAGAGCATTCTTGTTGTAATGTACAGGATAAACTATTTTAATTGAAATTAGTCTATTTTAGGTATGATGAATATGAGCCATTTGTTGATTATTGCTTATATATGTGGTTTGAATAAGTAATGGTGATCGGAGATTGTGCAAAATTCGCATAATAAATGTTTTAAGCTTTAGTTGAGTAATATAATCAACTTATGCAAAACAATGAGGAATACCAAAAAGACCAACTGAAAATGATTAGTGGGTGCCGCTGTATAATGCACTTTAAAGCAGAAATATAAAAAGTAATTTAGAAATTAACTCGTCATACCTTGGCTAAATCTCGAGATAATTGGCGAGCAGTGATCATTTCACTAGGTCTATCATTCGATCCTTCTCTATCTGAAGAGTTGTTGAAGTTTACTAAGCCAGTCCCAGCTCCAATTCCAGAAGGTAACGTTGCATACGCTTCGCACGGGTCCCGCTTCACCTCTTGGGACTGGGTTGTTTGAACTGGAATCTGGCCAGTTGCAGTGAGTGCATTCAGCTGGATCATTGCTGCGGCCAGAGCAGCAACAAAGGTGCTAGCAACAGTCTCCACGTCCGAATTCGGCTGACGGCTCTCCTCAGCTCTCATCAATGTTTGCGATTGAAGGCGATCTTTGTTAGGAGTCGCATATGGAGTTAACAGGAGATGAGCAAGCAGGTCGAGTCGGGAAACCGAGGTAGGCATATCAGCAGCGGCACCACTGATCAGGATACGTTGGCGAGAACAAGGCAGCCGCGCAGCAAGACGAGCTAACCAATCGGGTTTGGCAAGCAACATCGGTACTGCAGGCGATTGGCGAGCTAGGCGGTTTCCCACAGCCTTGTTTGCAACAAGATTTGCTTCAAGGCTTAGAAGCTCAAGATGCCGAATCAGGCTGGTATGACAAGCTGTTGAGGAAAAACTAGGTCGAGTTAGGTGAGATTGGTCGATAGTTTCTTCAGCATTAGATCTTGGCAAAAATCCTTGAATTCCCCGAGGACGAATTAATGCAATAGGCGGCTGAGCAGATTCAGTTTGCGTTTCAGATTCCGGTCCATGATCACAAGTAAAGCTGGTCGCTTGCCGACAGAGAGGTGGATCCCCAGAACCTAAATGTGTCCACATTGAATCGGCAGATACAGAGCCTGTAGTTATCTGTTCGAGGATAGAGCAGCGTACATTTCTAACATTTGGAGGAATGCAGGTGTCTCCGGTAGCACAATTTCCGCTCATCCAACTACTACTGGCTATACTGCTGCTGCTGCTGGTGTGAGCGGATGATCCGCTTCCAGTCACTTGAGCTCCAGATCCTGGCCAAGCTACGCCATGATTAGCATCATGTACTACCGCCCCAGTCTTGCGTCTTGAGCCACTACCACGATTCCTAAAGCTATTTGAAGAACCACTGGTCCCAGTGCTTATAGTCGTCGCCTCTTGGCAAGAGACCGATGGCACAGAAACGGCAGATACCAGTGGAGATGCAGCCTCGTCGGCTTCATCGGTGCCCTCGTCATCATTGGAAATACGCGTACGGCCGCCAAATCCGGAGCCAGATAGTGCAGAGTTAAAAGAATCGAAGGTGAGCGAATGATGAATCAGATAGTGAATCTGAAAACAAATAAAAATAGGTAGAATTAGTTTGCCAGCTGCAAGCACCGTAAACATTAGCAAAACAACACACAGTAAGCTTGGATATCTAAAACCGCGTAGTATGTTTGAAAAATAGCTAATAAAATTATGCAAAGGATCAATATAAATAGCAAATAGCGCAGAAACTTAAATCAACTCCATATCGATGTAAAGATAAAACAAACACTAAAAGGAAAAACATAATATTTAAAAAATGCATAGAGCAGAATACAAGTTTAAAAATCGTGAAAATGAGTTAACCGGAGCGTTCCATTAAACGATAGCATTCATCTTTACCGATAAATAAGCACTTATAGAAAGTACGAATTTAAAAAAAAGTAAAAGTGTAACATAAAAAACAGGTATTATCGTGGAGCATGAAGCGAACAAACCTGGTCAAAAACGATTATGTTCCATGGAATCTGGCAGAAAAAGTCTACATTAGCGTTAAGCACAGTATAGCTTGTCAGGCAAACGTTGAAAGATGTACGTGAGTCCAATCGAGACAGGTCGACGCCAAGCAAGGAACTGGCTAAATTGCTGGTGTGGCCAGTAATTGTAGCCATGAGATTTAACTTGGACTCGGCAATTGATGGTTCCAGCCCAACATCGTGCTCACAGTCGCCGAAAGAGGGGCAAGTATCTGAGCAGCGATCATGAAAACTAGCGCCATATCCAACGGCTATGCACAATATGCGTATGCCTGGCCAAACAGCAGAGAGCCGTGAGCGCCAGGATGGCAGACATAGACTGGGACAAACCACCAAGTGGGGTCCCCAATCAGCTGTAGCAATGGGCAAATGCGGAGGAGCAGGATCTACAAGTCGGTTAACAAGCGAATCTGCAGAACCTAGCCGGTCAGTCTGATCGACTTTACCGAGAGGACAGGGAGAAACAGATGAAAGTACATCGGAACCAGAAGTAGACAGGCGGCTGAAATGAGTCGATACGAGGAATTCTGCGTCACCAGCTGCAGTGCCAGAAGATAGAAGGAGGACGGGAAGATTGTGCTGATATGTTTGGTAAAGCCAATTTAACCCAGAAGCTAATTTTAAAAATGGGACAAATGTAAAATGTAAAGAGATTTGCAGTCAGTAAAGAATGAAATAATAGCTGGATTAAAAATCTTTTCAGGTTCTTTGAGTCAATAAGTCAAGCAATATCTATAATAAGCAAGCAGTAATAAAGAGTCCTTAAATTACATCCCCATCCACTATGAAGCAAACTCCTATGAGTCCTCCATATAAAAGGGATACCCAAACTGCCAGATAATATTTAAGCAAAATAGGTTCCAAATAAATAAAAACATAGACAAGCATAGGTACACAGAGAGGTTGTTTGACATTGTTTTCGCAACATGGTCATATTGGTAGGAAGACTTATTGGAACGCACCTAGTCCGGGATCCATTGTCTACATGATCATTTCCAAAGTTGAACCGTAGACGTGGTACTTTCCGAAACGTTTCGCCGGCATCGTCAGTATCGCCATTCTAAGCACCATACAGCAACTCGTCAAAGAGACAAGTGAAGCCGATCCTTTGACCAAACGT